CATTACTTTGTTGGGGCCAATTGACATAACTGATTGGTATTCGGCACCCACACCACCCTCAAAGGACCCTACCGAGCGTCACGAAGGGAGCTAATGTAGTTACCTACGTCTGCGCCGCGGGCTACACACGCCTCTGATGCATGGCCACGGCGTAACTCGGGCGTGCGCGCGCGCGCGCGTTCACGACGTCGAACGCGCGGAGTTAAATCACGAGTAAAGCACTCTTTCGAGAATTAATACGATTTCGGCGGAGCGGATCACGCGCCGGGACTTGATCCTCGCGCGCGCATTCGCGCGCGAGGATATCCGCAGTATCTCGTTTGGAGAGCGAGCGAGATACGTGTTCCCTCGTTTCCCACCGTCGTTTTATCGCCCACTATCTCTCCTTTTCTCCTTTTTCGCTATCTTTCAACGAGCCGGCTATTCCTGCTAATTTCAGAACGTGGCCCCGACCCTCGCGTTCTGCGCGCCCGCGTTCGGAAGACTCCCCATGTCCGCCGATTTCGTTGTCGCGAACAAACGACGCGCGAAATTTCGTGCAGGCTGAAAAATGCACGATCGGCGGTTTGCGTGCGGGCGCGCGACGTTAAAGCTCATATTCACCATCAAATATTGATAATTTCCGCACCGTGGATTTCCCATGACACGCTTACTTGTTTATCGTAATAGATCGGGAATGTATCGCGACGTGCTGTGATAATTCATTCATGCGAAATTCTTGGTGCGATTCGCGTTATTCGTGTATTATAACAAATCGTTGCGATCGAACGATCGTCGTGACTAAGTCAATCCGGGAAATTTTTCATAAACTTTCGCAGCTGACGCCGCGCGTTTTTCTCGTTACAGAATTTCTGCGCAGGAAAATGGCGTTACAGCACGGGTGTCCTGCATAACGCGCATCGGCGGCTATCGACGTGAAGGCGCACAAAGCGAGGTAGATAAACACGAGCGTAAACAACCACGTCGTAATTGCTTGAAAAGTAATATCTACCTCTCAGTTATTATGCATGTTATGCGTGTCGTGCACGTAACGAAACAAATTACACCCACTGTGTGCATCCGAAATACTCTTCCGCGCGCGAGCCGCGCGTTAAATTGTGCGTTACGCGAGTCAAGCTCGCGTTTTAGTTTTACTTTTAATCGATCTGTCAAACGAAAATGGTGCGACTCGCGGGGCTTCATAAATAAAATATACGAATGAAAACGCGATCCTTTGCGGAATGGCAATTTTAGACGCGAAATAACAGATATCTAATGGACGTTTAGAAAAAAAAAATTACTGTATTTTAAAGCTACACTTTAAAGCTTTTAAAGAAGATGTATTTCGCGTTGTCCGGGTTTCGTCAACGCGATCACTACGAACTATAACTTTCATCAAGGGTCCGTGTTTCTCTTCTCGTTCCGCGAGACCTAACCGACTATCGTATAACTCGAGACTCTTTTTTTCGCTCTTGGCTGTTTCTACTAGAGGGATGTACACGAGGAATGGGAAGTCAACTGATAAATAGTTCCTAATGCCTCCCCGTGTCGAGTTTTCCTTTCCCGTGGCACGACGTGCCGAGTACACTCACCTCCGCGAGAATTTCGGGCTCGCTTAGCTCTCTCTCTCACGGTACACGGCAAGAGAAATTCTAACTTGCCGTTAAAAGAAGCGAGGCGAAAAATTCTGCTTCATTGCGAACGGATGACATTTCCTTCCGTGAGAACGCCTACGGTGGCGTTTTCGCATTCCTTATCGCGGCGATGTTGAACCGTCGTTTCTCTAGAAAAACCCTCTTAGAAAATTCACGGAATGAAGAGGGGCGATATTTAAAGGGGCTCCTGAAATAGAGTTACGCGCGCGGTCGTACCACGTGGCCTCGTGCCTCTTGAAAATGTGAGAAAAACGTCGGGAAAATTCGCCGCAACATCTTCGGGCGCAACAGGCGGTGCGAATGTTGAGAGACTACTTACTCTGAAAAACGTACTTCGCGCGACAATGACGACTGCGATTAGCGCTTCAATTCAACTGTAAACGTTTCTCCTTTTTCCGTCTGTGTACACCCCGCTCGATGGTGCGTCCTTTTCTTTCGTTAACCGCAGCGGTTATTTATTTCGACAAAACTGGCCGAACGTTACTTCCGTTTGTCGCACCGAGACAAACACCGGGACAAATCGAGGCATTGTCGCGAAACGCGCTACAACCCCGAGAGTAGCACTGTGTTGCGCATCAATGACGCTACGTTTACACGACCCACTTTACGCCGGCTTAGTGTACCGACTTAGCGTACCTCGAGTGTTAAATGTAATACAAACTGTGATTTTGCGCCGCGACCACCAGGCCGAAATGTAATTACGTGTCCGCGCAGAAATATAATTATAAAGGCCTGTGCAAACGTAAGAGCTCGAGACCCGTTAGTCGACCCGATGTTCAAGAAGGATACGTTCAAGGCTCTTTAGATGCAAATCAATTGGGACGTGGAAGACGGCGAAGGACAAAGCGGCAGCACGTGATGTTTTTCCAGCCCTTTGCGCTCCAAGTGTCAACTTGATCCGGTTAGCTTTGAGAATTTTTGCATTTTATTCCACGCATGCCAATCTAGTTGACGGTAAAAAAAAAAAGAATTGCGGTAAATTCAAATAAAATTACAAATTACAACGGATTGTTGACAAATAGATTTGTTTCGCTTGGTTCGTTAGTATTTATGAGTAAACCGTCAGTGTCACGCAAAAATGTATGGTTCACGGAAAGATAAATTCATTTCGCGTGAATGTAATATGAATCGCAAGAAACACAAAACGCTTCGATCTATTTTTCCCATTATTTTCGATCGTAACATCGGTCGGCGCGTATTTATATAAAAAATAGAAATCACCCCGCGATATCAGTGTTTACATAAATAAAATGTTATTCTTTAAAATCAACCGATATTTATTATGTGTGCAATTTTTGCATGAAGAAGAGCGATAAAGTGGGAAATTTATAAGGTATTTAAAAGATACACCGAGAAAAATTTAGGAGATACACCGAGAAAAATACCCCATCATATCTGATTGTATAATACAATTAAAAAGTAGCAAACGAATATACATCCGATCGAGTGTAATGTCTGGTTATTTCGTCATTTCATCCGCTCAAGCCTTGCCTTTATTCGACGTCAATTACAACGGATATACAAAGAGCGACTAATTTTCCAATTAATTTTCATCGGTAACTTCATCGGATAAAGATACCCGTCGCTTGATCGGTCGATCAAAATAACAATCGGATACGTCGTTTAATAAGTTCGTCCAATGGAAATTTTTCTCAGTATATCTAAATAGACTGAGGCGTTTCTTTAAATCTCTTTTAAAGTTCTTCCTTTGTCGCTTCGAATATCTTCAGATGAAAGGAAGAATAATTCAAGCGCCTTTCCTCGATCGTTTGTATCGTCTAAACGTTCTAGCGAAGTACAATAGAGATTGACAGACTACGAGGATCGTTATTTCGAATTGTATAACGCGCGGTATAAATCGTTGCGATTTAAATTTTTTTGTATTTTTTTTTTGTATCCAATTAATCCGATGTCGAGATAGTTTCCCTTTGCGGCGCACCTGAATACAAATCGACTACCGTCCGATGACTCTTATTGCAGGACGACACGACAAAAACGTGTGTTTCAAAAGAGTATCCGATACGCGCTGCATTGCACGCATCCATTTGGCCGTGCCTGGTTTTTTTTTCTCCCCAGCATTTATTTCCGTTCACGTCGCCGGACGCGCGCACGTGACAATGTTCAACGAATACGCTAAATGCATGAGATATTTATAAATAGAAATGGAAAAAACGAATGCGTTATCATACGCCGAATATTTAGTCAATGATGCATGAATAATATCGACCGAAACAATGAAAATAAAATTTCACTCACGTCGCCCGCAGATATACAAACTGTGTATAGCCTATATACTATTACGCGAATCAGCCAATTTCATAACGAATTGTGTTACTAGCAACAATCGTGTTACGTTTCGCTATTTAGCCTCTCGAATGTTTCGCGAAGCGATAACGCATTAATCCCATCGATGTGAACTTGACATCCGACACGGGCGAAAACAAGTTTCCAGCTTCTCTGAGATTACACGTTGGCCTTTTAAAAATTAATATTATTTAATTAAATTTATACATTAATACATTCAACAGATCTTGACAATCTTCTTCCTTTCCTACACATCGCCTTATAGAGGAAATAGATAGTTCTTTTGATATAAATTATTTTACATTTGATCATAATGCAAAGGAATTAATATTCGTGGACTTCTCTCTTTATTCTTCCGTTTAATTAATAATTCGATATTTGATTGATCCTTCGACCGCATATTATAGGTCTAACTGACCTTGCGTCAAATTCAAATGGCTCTCAAACACGTATTAATTGACTCGATCTGATTCGCATTGTCTAACGGATAGAAAATAACATTGTCTAACGGATAGTAAATGACTAACGATTTTTCAGGAGTGGAGAAAACTCATAAACCACGCACTTCTCTTTGCTATAGCTCTTTAAACACAACTCACTGAGTCTATCTGACCCGTAAAACGATCGAAGGGTTAATAATTAATAATTTTGTTTACAAGTGGATGAAACCATTATCGATCACAGCAAATTTGATACATCGTCACCCGAGTGGGAAGCTAATTAATACGTCTACGAGATACGCAAAATGTAAGGCCCCGTTTGTACGATTAATCGATAATTCAGGACGCTGAGGGATCGTCAGGCTTCATTCGCGCTACTGACGATGATGATTCATTAGCGATAAAGGGCGAGTAGCGAGCGGGCGGCTATTTTTATGGTACCACTATGAAAAGCTTGCCTAATTCGGCCCGATGTCATTAACGTCTGCGATTCGGCGATAAATTATTCAAGATAATTGGATTCAGGGCGTGCATAAAATCCACTTAGTATATGGCGTCCATTCAGTAAGGGTAGTCGCAACACATGCACGTAAAAAGAGAGGGAGGGCGGGCTAATGCTCGGATAGAGATTATTTTATGCAGGTCCTCATGATGGCGTGTTGTAAATCGAGGCTACAGCGCAATCAGCCATAGATAACGCGCGGCGTTTAATAATAATAGTCGCCTAGCGAACACAACACCTAGCGAAATAATACTATTCCGAAATGCTAATCTTCCCGTAAGCTCGACGATCCTGATGCTAAAAGCGACGTAAAACGCGTGGCACCGTAACTCGAAGCAATAAGTGACGCGTTACCCTTAACATCTCTCACGCTCACTCATTAATATTGCCTGGCGTTGCATTAACGTTGTCTGGCATTCACACGCAAATTATTCCATTATCATAAATCATCGTAATCTTTATTATCTTAATTATCGATTTCAGTGTAATTTATTATTAGTTATTACGATAATGCAAAGAGTTTTTGTCGCGTGTAAAATTTAAGGTAAAATTTAAAAGTAAAATTTAAATTAAAATTATCCAATTTCGAATTAATAATTTTTACATATATACAAATAACAATAATATATACAAATAATGTTAATTTATTTTTTTGAACATTTAACAATCCGAATTGAAATTTTAATTTTATATTAACCTTGTAAATTTCATCGAACCTGAATGTCCAATGAGAATTTTGAAATATAACACTATATACAGATTATTGTTCTTCGTTGCGAAAAAATGTTTATTTATTTATTATTGTTTTCTTCCTGTTGAGACTTAAAAACAGTTTATTTCAGAGTTATTCGATATTTTTTCGATCATCAATATTCTACTTGCATTTTTATTCTTAATATCAGTAAACAGAATATATTAATTATATAACTTACTTTACTACAGATAGAGGATATGCAATATGTAAATATTGATAAATAATTGGATTATTGGATAAACACAATAATAAACTTTCTTTATTCGTAGTCCTTTTATTATATTTTTTTCTTTTTATTAG